GCCATATACACAAGAAGACATGCTTAAGCTTCTACTTGAAACCTTAACATTAGTATTCCCTGGTCTTTGAATGCTTAATTATGCAAACTTAGCACTGTTTTAACTTCCTTTGGAATAATAACTACTATAACTGATCGGATTTTGCAACTGTCTTCATATAAGCAGGCCCTGGAACATTATGTTCATTCAAGTACTGATTTCTAAAGAGAAATGAAGTGGAGAATCACTACACAAAGGGACAGGAGGCTCAAGAACAGAACAGAACGCTGCCATGGGAATCAGCATAAAAATACCTACGAAGATGAATTTACAAAGAGTTTTGCTCACTGACTTTAGCTTAGTTCGGAGAGCAGTGAGATGTTTGCTTGTTACCTTGAAAGCAAGTACAGTTTTATAAACACTCACCTTTTTTTGCTCTCACCATTAATTTTAAGCTTCTTTTCACTAAGCCTAGTCTTTACAGCCTTTCCGACACCACAGGTAATTGATGACTTTAGCAGCAGCATCCTTAGTTGTTACAGCAGGAATAGAATATGATCAACCTTATGCATTCTAAGATTATGAGTCAGGGCCAAACATACCCATAAGATTTGCTTACAAGTTCATGCAGTTTAAAAACACATAATATATTTTGAGTTGCTTTTATTTTTGACTGGTTTCTGAACTTCTGTCATATAATGACTTTTGCCATAATATGACAACAGGCTGAGAGCCATGGGGCTCTTTAGCCTGGAAAAGCGCAGGCTCAGGGTGACCACCAGTATCTGGGGGAACGTTTGTTCACCAGAGCGCCCCAAGGGATGATGAGGTCGAATGGTCATAAACTACTGCACGATTGTTTCAGGCTGAACATAAGGAAGAATTTCTTTACTGTCCGAGCCCCCAAGGTCTGGAAAAGCTTGCCATCGGAGGTGGTTCAAGCACCCACATTGAACACCTTCAAGAGTAAATTGGATGCTTATCTTGCTGGGATCCTATGACCCCAGCTGACTTCCTGCCCTTTGGGCAGGGGACTGGACTCAATGATCTTCCGAGGTCCCTTCCAGCCCTAATGTCTATGTCTATGAAATCAATCTGGTAACATTTTCAAGTTTTTCTCCATGGGGACTGAGATTCTCACCTATTCACGCGCCTCCAGGAGATAGAATTTTAAGAACATTTGGTTAACTTGTAAAAGTTGGCAACAGTGATCCTGGACTCCTTAGTTCTTGTTCTAACTCTGTTTCTAGCCATTTGTTCAACCCTGCGCTACTGATTTAGTGTCACTCCACTTCTGTACGCAAAGTTAAAACAGACTTAAATGAGATAGGGAGCTGCTACTGTACCAGATGAGGAAGAATGAGGGCAATGGGAGAGCACAGCTTACTCAAGTGAGGGAGAGAAGGTGCCCCTTGTTTTAGCAAGTAAGTCATGGGTGCAGTGCCTTCTATACAGGAGTAACTTTACATGTGTTAATAATATCTCTGAATTTAAAGATATGAAGAAGAATGGTCTGTATTTGGAATATAGTCCCTTCTACTGTGCTGGCATTGGCAAATGCCAGCTACAGGATCTGGCAGCATGCTGGATAAAATAATGTTTTTGCATGACATTAAATTTACTATGAGTAATCCTGTTAGCCTACTCACAGGGGCAGGGCAGTTAAGGCATCTCACTGTGGCTCTGAAGGGTACAGTTTAGCTTGCTGGGGAGTCAAAGCAGCCTGCTGTAATGTTAGCCATATCACTCCCATATGCCATTAGCTGCAGAACCTGGTTGCCATATTAGCCCAATGGGCCATAGGCTTGACAACTGTCTTCAAATGAAAACATCCTATAATATTAGCTATGCTCAGATGTGCCGGGTTCTTCCAAGTCTGTTTGTATACAGTTGCTATAGTCTGAAATGTAGAAAAAGACATTGTAGGCTCCCAACTTTACCTCTCATTTTACTTCCATATCATATTTGTACATCTGATACGTCTGAAGATTTTTCTAAGTGACAGCTGTACATACTGGACTTGGAAACTGCAAATCAATGTTTTTTTCTGGCCTATGTATCATTCTCAGCAGTAATAATAAAGATTCTACAGTCAGAAACAATGCAGCATCAAGAATACCGTCCAAACTCATTCCCTCTTAGCAGCGGTGTCTTTATGTGTCTAACAAGACTGAAAAATAGTCAATGATTATTCCTGTCATCAGAGCAGGCCCATTCTTTGGACAAACTGGTAAGTTGCCCAGGGCAGCATTTCTAGAGCCAACTAATTAGTAGCAGCTTCTCATTGGTCAATGCAATTAGCTCTGTGAATGTAATAGAGAAAGGGCAGAAAAATAGCTAGGGCTGGCCCAACATCTCTCTTAAGTCAGCAGATCTTATTCCAAATGCTCACTGAAGAAATGATCTTTTAAATTATATGTTCCTGTTTTCAGACTTGTCACTTTTCTCATCTTGACTTGCATTTTAAAGAATGGGGTCCAACATTATAAGTCAAATATGTGACCATACTGTTTCTATAAATCAGTGAGGTATGCTCTCTAAGTATTCCTAATACATCACAACTTACTAGTATTATTAATTTTTATATTATGTACCAGAGTCTCCAGTTGTGGATACTGTACAAATCTGGGAACATGGGAATTGCCAAATTGGACCAGACCCAAATCCAGTATCCTGCCAACAAGTGGCCTGCACCAGTTGCTTTCAAGGATGTTGTTTAAAAAAAAAACAAAAAAAGTAACTGTGGGATACTTCTATCCCAGGAGGTCTCTTCCCAATCCTTAAAAGGTAGCAATTATTTTGAGAACAGAAACATGAGATTTATATAATTTTCAAACTCTTAATTTAACCTCACAACTGGATGTTTTATTATCTGTATAATTATCTAGTTCTTCTTTGCATCTTGCCATAGTTCTTGGTCATGGAAAAAGCCAGTGGAAATGAGTTCTACACCCTAACTATTCACTGTGTGAAAAGGTTCTTTCTTAAGTTTTGAATTTGCCATCTTTCATTTGCATTAAACATCCCCAGACATGCAGGGTCAGAAGGTATTTAAACAACCTGTGTTATGTAAAAACAGTCAGACCAATATTTCTTCTAGCCCAGTATTGTTTCCACAGCCACAGCACTAGATGATTTTGAAGGAGAGCATATGAACAAGATGCATCTGAAGGGTTCTCCTGTCATACCCTCCCTGTCATCTGCTGTCACTGGTGTAAGCATGTGAGGGGATACATCCCTGACTGTTCTGTTTAATAGTTATTCATGGATTAAAATTCACTTCAGTGGAATTATACTGATTTGTATCAGGCAAGGAACTGAAACATAGCAAGAACAGATCCTAGAACTTACATTCCAGTGCCTCCCTCTTACAGTAATGTCTGTATTAGGAATGTAATAACTGGGTTATGTATGCACAGTTGTATGGGATCAATTCATACATTTCAGACCAAGTATAAAAACACTAGAATCAGAAATCTTTAGTCTTTTGGTCACATTTAAAAAAAACAACACATGACTGTGTTGAAGACAAACAGCTGACTTACAAAAGATTAAGCAAAGCAGAGCTAAAGCATGATTGCAGATGAGAGCATAGATAGGAGACAATGTATGATAAATGCAGATGGACAGACTGGCTAGTGTCATGCTTTAAAAGTTGTTATGATAAGGAACTTGCATGTATAAAGAAAAAGAATGTGTTAAAAATGCTAGGCCCCAAATTCTACCTAGATTCTATGAGGGAATTCCTAGACAGAATTCAAGGTGAAATTTTAAACACTTAGTCAACTAGGTTTTGGATTTATGTGTTTATTGGTTTGTGGTTTACAAGTTGGGCTCCTGGTCTAACCTTCTACAGTTTCTGCTACATTAAGGGTTATGATCATTTGCAACATACCAAGGCCAAAATTTTATGACAGTACCTGTGAGAAGCAAAACACTTTTACAATATTTGGGGACTTTGGTGTATTAATGTAGATGATCGGTTTTGCAGAAACATGTTGGCAATTTTTCTTAACGTTCCCATCTCCAAGGAAATTATTTTTAACACCTTGTTTTTCATGGCACCTTCTATCTGATCACTCTAAAGAAATATTAAGTCTAATAGCATCCCAACAAAATGGTTCTCTCAGCTTGTCAGATAGGTAAAACTTAAATTTGAACAACTGAAATGACTCATCCAAGATCACATAGCAAGTAAGTTGCAAGGCTGGAAACAAAAGTCAGGAGTCCTGCCTTCCAGTATTGTTCTAGGAAAAGAAACAGTTTCTAAACTTTGAATGAACCTCACAATGAATTAAGTCACACATGAACAAATGGATATTAATTATTTTTTATTAAAGTATCAAAACAAACTCAAGAATAGAAAACAAATTGTTTTAATGCATTTTTATAGGTTATCCTGAATAAACTAGACATTTACTTAACCCATATAATGCATTGCTCCTGTCTAGACTTTAGACATTACTTTCCTGGGCATATTCAAAGTACCATAACTTCCAAATTATGCCATACACGCACTCATGAACACACACATACACACAAAGAGGGAAGCAGCTATGACTGAACGGATAGAAATAAAGACAGATTAACTCCCAACAAAAGTAGTGGTACCATATTAATATTTGGCATGCTAGTAAATAACATTTACATTTAACTCAAGCAGCAAAAGCATGACGCCTGCGTCACCAGTAATATGGTTAAAAGCAACCATACAAAATCCCTAAAGGAGAGACATGAGTTTTGTAATAGTGATTAACAATAAGTGGAACCAGTTTTTGTCCTAACACCTTATAACAGTAGAGGCAACAAACTTTTTACCTTGGTTGAAATTTGATACACAAGAGACAAAGACAAGGAGTATGGTATCTGGACGGTGCCTAAATCTAATAAATCCATATTACAGAATTCAAATACCAATGAAAAGTTATTTTACAAGGTAATTGTAACATTTCAGGAATTTCCTGTGTCAGACAGACAATGGGCCAAATTAATCCCTCATATAACTCCATTTAAGACAGGAACAGGAGGTAAGAAACCTTCATTGAAGTCAGTGGAAGTGCCTCACAACTGTACCCAGGATTAATCTGGCCCAGTGTGTTGTATTTGTATACATTCACTTTTCAGGTACATGAAGTACATAGTTGATACATGATAGAGGACATTACAATATATCCAGATCTTAGGAAAGTGTATTAAGAAGTTCTGTTGCAGAATATAAAAGTAAGATAAGATCAGGTATGATATCTGATATACTCATCTGGGACTCGCAAAGTAAGAAGCTGATGGTTGAGGTATCTATTGGTTTAGCCTTTAGATTATTTTAGATTAAAAATGCAATTTCAACACTGCACAACTGGTGTAAAATATTATGTACTGTAAACTCTATTCTTCTGGTCTGCTCTGTTTAAAGTGGGACATTATGCTGTTAGACACCACTGATGGAGGTCTGGAATTTTGGAAAGTATAATTGCTATTATCTGATGCTGCAAAATAGTCATTGCCTCATGTGAGACAAGGATTAGGCATTTATATATATATTTTTAGAAGTGATGTCCCAAACAGAACCATTGAATTTAGGAATATATAATATTAGACACCAACAAGTGAAAATAAACAAAAAACAGCACAGCACTTGTGTTTTCAGTTTTGTCTGGTTTGCAATATTTATTAGCTCAACTTATTAGGATATTAGTGATAAATAAGGATAATATTTTCTTTTACAGAAAACTGTAAGGATAATAAAATAAAACAATCTGAGGATTTCACAGAAACATCAGAATTTAAACACTCATAGCTCTAGTTCTTTCGTCCAGCAGCTCTATTAGTAGTTCAAAACATCTAAGGTTAGATTTTAATAAAAAGTAAAAATAATTACCCACTACAGCAAAGTCTTAGTCCATTTTGGGGTTCCAAGCAGCATTCTGATTGACTGCAGTCCCCACCAAAATATAAAAGAAAAGCTAGATGTTTTTCTTATGAATCATATGACAACAGGAAGTAATCTTGACAGAGTGTTGCATTAGAGTCCCTCAAAACCTTAGTCATGTGCATAAGAGCTACTCTTGGAACGAGTCCCACTGAAGTGTATGAGTAAGAATTACTAACAAGTGAAAGTTTGCAGGATCAAATCCTAGGTAATCTAAGTCTTTTCCACTTCCATTTGCTATGATTCACAAACTTTGGATTCAGTCCTGCAGTCCTTATTTCAGACAAAACTCACTGAATCCTTTCCCAGCTAATTCCCTCTTCACACTTCAACTAACTCTCCACACACAGGTGAATTTCACACAGAATGAATAATACTTCAGTAAAATTAAAGCATAGACCCAGGAACTCATTTTCAAGGAAGTTCAGATTTGGCAAGTCTACTTTTACTGTGTAAATTTGATCCCTATAACTGCTTTGAAATACTGTGTATATTGGATATTGTGCATTAAGTGCTCACAGGGCAAAGTGCCTGCCTGTATTTCATGGCACAACTGCAATCGCTGAAGAACAGTGTGAGAGCTCCAGTTCAGTAAATGCAAACTTTTTTTTTAGCTACACAGACATTTTGCAAGATACTGATGCTTGTCACACCTACTAAACTTCTCAGAATCAAAGTCTGAGATGAGTCATACAAAAACCCACACAAGTGTTGTAAAGAAAAAAAATACAATGCTTAATTTGAAACTAAAGGCTTTTTTGCATTAGGTTAAAATGCATTATTACATACCAACACATTCTTCCAGAACGCATCATTCTGAAAACTTGAAAGCTCTGAAAATACTCTCTCTGCTTTTCCTACTAGCAACAAGGAAAGGTAGTGTCCATCCAGCACTGCTGTCTGTATGAAGTGCATCATTGGAAGTCATAGTGTTCTAGCACAGACATCACAAGTGCAGGTACTGTATACAAGCAGAAACGTAAAACTTCTGCGGTTGTTGTTGGTAGCTTCTAGGAACAGCACATGTGACGTACTAAAACCTAGAGTTGAGGCAGAGGACTCTGACTTGAGCATGAGCAAGTCTTTTGAGGGGAAGGATCACAGCTGAGCCAACACAATCCTTCCTGCTTAACAAAGCAACCCTCCTGCCTATTGGTTTTTGACTAATAGAATCCTGCAGATACACCTTAAGTCAGATCCTCCGTGGATTCTGGATTTTTGGTGTGGAGATGTACTTATGAGGACTCTTTGTTTTGCCTCATCATTGTCACTTAGCCCTGTAATGTTCCTTCTTTGATCTGTTGAATAAAGAGGTTCCTTTCGTCCTCAGGTGTTCTCCCATTTTGCGCTCGGACTATGCAAGTAGGCCTATGGAGATTGAGCATGTATATCAAATGCTGCTTCTCATTCTTTAGTTCTTCAATCTGGGCTTTTAGTTCTGCGTTGATAGTTTCCAGTTTTTCTGATTCCTAGCCACAGAGCAGAGACATAGCTATTAGACTGAGAGTAGCAGCCCTTTATTAGTAGCAAGGCATGATGGCTATTTAAGACAGAAACTACATGTTTCTAATAGTGCACAACTGTAAAGCTATACATCACAAGTTTGTAATAGTCTAGAGAATAGATTAAAAATGTGGTCTTTGCCCTTAAAAGAAAAATAGTCACAATGTCAACTTCTGCCTAGTGTACATGCAAAATAAGTCCATTGCCTTCGGTAGAGTTGCTTTAGATATGTATTGGTTGAAGTGATCAGAATTTGACCTAGATTATTTGTGCCCTTGTATTAGCTCACTAGAATGTTACATCACCTATCAGGGTGCAAAACATACATCAGGTGCTGTTCCATAAACCAGCATGTCATTTGGAAATGCCACCTGTAACCAGTATTCCACTAGAACACTGCCACAGTCTGCTACAAAAATAGGTTAAAAAGGGACTGTCAACGATGCTAGGTTTATAAATTGACCTACCCTGACCTTTGTCCTACGAGGTAAGTTTTACCAAAAAGATTCCAGTCGTGCAGTTTTTAAACTTAATGTGACTGCAGCAGAACTGTGTGTGTGTGTGGGTTTAAATATAACCAACTACCCGTTTTTTACTTTATCCTATTATGCAAGAGCTCTTCTAATTTAATAACACTGTGGGAGAGGAGTGGGCAAGAGTATATGATTTACATGGGTAACCTTCATATCAAGCTTACTGCACTGGCCCACTGATAGGGCTCAACTCCCAGCTCAAACAATTACCCTTAGGAATAAGGTTTTATTTTTACAAAATCATTAAGTCATAGCCATTTTTTTAACTCCACACATATAAACACACAAATTCACCTACCTCACTAAAGTGTAACCTTTGAGGTGAATCTTAGAGTAAAAAAAGCTGTCAAGCTTAGTTTTAATCTTAGGCCTAAAAGATTTAATCAAGTGTGTCCTACTAGGAAAAGGTATGTTCTTATCTCAAGGTAGCTAACATCTGAGGGGCAAGGATTTCTTGGGGTGAGTACTTACCCTAAGAAATCCTTGCCTCTCACATAATATCTAGACCATCACAGGTACAACATCACTCTTACACTACCCTACCAGTTGATAAAATCCTACTGATGACATGGTAGTTTATAATTTTCACTTACTTTGGCTTAACATAAAGACTATAAGAAAGGCTAAGGTTTGTCTTGACCTATAAAATACCAAAATGTGTTTAAAACTGCAAATTGACTTGTCTTCCCTAAAATTTTCCTGCCTGTTAGTTGTTATACCCTAGCTAACACAATATAAAAATACACCATTTTTTCCTAGTGCCCGAAAGGCTTTAAAATATGGTGTTTGAATCTGACATGATATTGTAGCAGGGTTTAGGAGGCTAGGTTATAGAACAGTACTTACAGGATTTTTGAGACTCTGGATGCCTACAATAAAAGTTAACGGAACTATTTGTCATAGATGTCTTTGCGAAAAGGGATCTTACTGACCACTACAAAAAAAGTAGGTCATAATGAACTTATTCAGGGCAACCCAATAGCCTAGAGAAAGTGCAAAATCTGAGTCCTTGCCTAGTTTCCTTTTTCCAGACTAACAGAAACTTACAGCGCTATGAGGCAGTACAATATTTCTGGCATCTCTTCCCGGCAAACACTTCTGGACAACAAAAGAGGTAATTGTCAGGAAGGGTTTAAGAAGAAGCCCATCCTCTTAGCACTCCTTTGTAAGGTTGATCATATGGGGTCTTTGAAAGACTCCTTAGTGTCTTAAATATCCTAAATATTAAAAGCTATTAATCCCAAACTTAGTAACAGAGAGAGACATAAAACTTCAACAGGTACTATATGCCCATTCTTGTCCTTTGTGAAACTGAAGGACTCCACGGCATCATCTGTTTTCCCGTGCTGTCATCTTACAGGACTAATAAACTACAGTAGTAACACCTAGGCTTGCTATCTGTAAACATGATTTAACTGAAAAGATCAAGAGTTTTAATCAAATACCAAATGAGATATAGCTCTAATTTTAACCTACTATATTAGTCATTGTAACTAGACATCCATTTCACAGAGAGATCAACCTGGGTCATAAAGAAGTTATAACTGGTTAAGATCTGTAACAGACGTCATGGACATGAAAAGTGATTTTAAATTCTTCCAGTGTTTTGTTTACATTTGTAAATTAATATCCACACATAAAAACACTTCTGTTTTTTAGAGCAGCAGCAATTGTTATTGATTCTATAGTGCTTTTTCAGATATTTTCAGTTTTAACTAAGCTTGAGATACATATGTAAGTAAGTGTGCATATTAGGGGTACACAGACAGATTTGGGGGGCTGATACCGATAGCTGATTTTTAAGGAGGTGTATTGGCTGATACTGATCCGATTTCCAATACAGCTACATGCAGCTGGTAAATCTGTGATGGTGGAAGGGGATGGGGGAGGTAATGGGTGGGGTGGGGGGCAGATTAAGGCCCCCATGGTGAGGGAGGAGTGGGGCTGGAACAGGTGTTGCCCAGCCGGGGCAGGGTATGAGACGAAGCCGTGGCTTATCCAGGGGGCACAGGGAGGGGAGGGTGGCTCCCCACTGCTGTGCACACCCCAGGAAGGCATGTGAGTGCACCCCAGGAGCCCTCACTCCCCGTGTACCTCCTGGACAAGTTGCAGCTCTGGCCTGCACCCCACCCACCTGGGCAGTGCCTGCCCCTGCCCCAGCCCCACTTGCTCCCTCACTGCAGGGTGTGTTCATCTGCCCCCCACACCCCTTCCCTCCCCCCGTCTCCTTCCACCACACTGGACTTACCAGATGGAGGCAACTCTCCAAGCTGCTGGGCTGTGCTTCTCGCTGCCTGAGTGCTGTGTTATGGCTGTGCACACGCACAGGCATTTATCAGCCAAATTAACAGCTGCATCAGACTGACTTCTGATAGTCAATCTTCTTTATATCAGTGATATATATCTCATATATATCATATATCAGTCATATATCATATATATCAATCTGATATCAGACCAATGTACCGGTGTACGTGTGTGTGTGTGTCTGTGTGTGTGTCTGTGTGTGTGTTGATTTATTTATATTGCCATCCACCAAAGAATTTCAAAGGGCTTTGCAGACAGTTGCATTCTTCTGCCTTGCTTATTTGCTCAGTAGTGGTGGTGTAGAGAGGAAAAGATAGGCTTATTGCAGCTACTTGACATGGGTAACCAGAACTCCCAGAATACCCTGGATGAACCCCAGATTTGCTCAAATAGCTGATGTGCAGTTTTGCACTTAAACCTGGAAACTTAGCAAAACAACCAAACAGCAGACAGGGAAAAAGTCAGGTCAAGAAGTCCCAGTAAAAGGAAAACAACAAGAAACCAACCTTGGGGAATTAAGAGCAACAGGTTTGTGGTGTCTAAGCTGGAGACTGTAATTGTAAATATTGCTAAGAAAGATAGAACTGCTTAGAAAAATAAAATAGGGTAGCAACAGTGCCTAGCAACTGCCTAGCAACGATGACATCACACCAAGTCATAAAAGAAACAGCAAAGGACAACGAAGTTGTCTCTCTGCTGAACTACATCCCAAGAAGCATCGGGTGATCAATGCAGACATGGAACTTGGGAGCCTTACTCAGCATGGCCACCTGATTGAGAATTCTCATGAAACCCACCCAAGATTGTTGCAGCGTGGTGAGATTCACAATTATGTGTGTAGCATTGCTGCTTAGCACTGTATGTGTGTAGCCAGTAAAGCTTTGCTTGATCTTCAATTGGATAGGTGGGCCATGGTGCAATCTGTATAACTTCCCTGGCCTATTCCCACCTCTGAGGGGTACTAAGTTCTAGTCCAACAGTGGCAGGATGAAAACAGGGTAAGAACAGTCAAAGTCAGCAACTTACTTTCTGCAAACATTCTGTTTTTTCCTTCTTTTTATTTCGGCATTTTGCAGCTGCAATTTTGTTCCTTTCCCTTCTCCTCTTTTTCCTTTCATCTTCTTCAGGTGCAAACTAGGAAAATTCAGGAGAGGTGCACATAATTAGAGTGATGCAGCAAACACAGCAGCATCATTTTGATAACTGCTCTAAAGCAAAATAGCCCTGTTTTGTAGACTGTTAGCTACAATATGTGTATTACCAACAGTGTCAGCCAGCCTGCGGACATGATTCTCATTTCATTTACAACAGTGTGAGACTAGAGAAACTCCACTAAGTTTGTCAACAAAAAGCATGGTGTAACTGAGATCAGAGTGAGGTAGCAGACAGGTTACATCCTGAAAACTAACTTAAAGGTATGAAAGTCAACATTTTATCCTAATGACTAATCATTCAGTTATTTTAAAACTGTAGAAACTTTGTCTGAGTAATAAAAATGTGCAGGATCAGACACTTAATCTGATGGTTTAGTAGCAGGCACTACTTTTTTTCCAAAAATCTAGATCTGTGCCTGATCCCATCACCTTTATGGATAGAACAGCTGGTGATGTGAAGCAGCCATTTTACATGAAGATTGTACTAAGGGGATCTCACAAAGTTTACTGATCTTTGGGGATTTGTTCTGTTGTCTTTTATTCCAGTGTAAGTTCAAAGTAATGCTGGCCCTCTGGTCCAAATTCTTAGCTTAGTTACTTGGGTGCCATAAACTTCTGTAACTCCCAACGGCTTTGGTAGAGGTACTTCTGGTTTACCCCAGTATGCATGAGTTCACAAGGAAGCCATGTGAGCCCACGTACTGCATAATAAGTCCTCTTAGAAGACAGTGCTATCAAATGGCATAACATTCTTCTTCTTTTAGTTCACAGCTAGGTTTACAAACAATTAATGGTTTACAACCAATTCAGGTTTTCTTCACTGAGATAGCCCTCTCAATGTAAAATCAAGCAAGACACAGACCAGCTTTTGCTCTAAACAGAACAGAGTGCTCGCTTCCACAAATAAGGAGTCATTACTTGTGTCCAGCTAAATATGAACTAGCCATAAATGATGTGAAAAGTATCAGCATTTAAAGAAAACAGGGACTAGAGAACTGAACATATTGACAGATTTAGTTCTTAGAGTCTATTGGTATTGGAGATGCTATCTTTCTTGATTTTCAGTGCATTTTGTAGTGAAATGATATTAGAATGTTAATCAAATTGAAATAATTAAAGAAAGGTACCTCTGTTTTCAGAACAGATGTTTCAACCATTCTTTCTGAAACTGTCACTGTGTCCAATGTAGAAGACATCCTGTGGTATTGGCGCTTATTTTGAATGGCAAATCTCAATTCTTCTTTCACCAGGGGGGTTAGATTTGTGAAATCTTCAAACCCCAGTGATAACGAAGGGGACAAGCAAGGAACAATTGCAGAGGCGCTGACTTCAGATGCAGATACCTGGCCTGGGTGTTGGAGCATCATTTTGCTGAAAGGTAAAAAATAAATACATAAATTATACTGAATAGCCTTCAATAACCTTTACATGCCAAAACTATTCACTAGACCAAAGCTGGATCTTTTAACCTGTCAACTAGTCCCTGTTTTATTTTAACAGAGGTTGGAACTACATTCTTCTACTATGTATGTACTTGTGGATATATACATATAAACATACACATTAACATAAACATGTATACTCTTATAGATATATTTATAGAGCTAGTACAGAGTTTCACAATAAGGTACAAGAATTGACATTGTAGTTTATGATGGTTACAAAAGAATGGTGCTTGCCATATTATATGGGCCATTCTGCATTCTGTTATTATTACCCAAGCAGTTCAAGATCAGGTGAACTGGTCTTCATTTCTATGGATGTTTTAATTTTCTTTTGGATTTTACCTTTTTGATGCAAGTCTATTTTTAGGAATTTTCTGAAAAAGGATAATTGTAAGATCAGTGCATTATGAAAACTGTAGGGTGAGAATAGGCAAAGGAAGCCTGGAATTAAAAATGGCAAATTAGGAAGTTTATATACAGTTTAGAAAGAGAGCCAGACACCAAATAAATGGGTTCCCCTATCCAAAGAGCTATACTACTATAGCTGAGTTTGAAAAGAATGGACCAGAACCTGTTCTTATTTACAGCTATGTAAATCCACAGTAACTCCACTGGAAACTTAAATTTAAAGTGCATTACACTTAGATTACAAGTGGATACAAAATTGTTATGATCAGGTTAGTGCATGTGCTTAATGATCCAGTTATAAAATCCTGCAAAACAAGTGGCACAAAACACCAAGAGCTGTATTGTCTTGGGGCTATCTAGCCATAGACATAGAAGGACAGAAATTACATGCAACCCAGTTTAAGTGATCAGAAACTGGTTCAAATATGTAACACAACAGAAGTTCAGTGAACAAAAAGGCCGAAACCAATTTAAGATAAACGTGGATGAATATAATATCAGATTTAACTGATTTAGGTTAAATTGGTTTATTGAACTTCTGTCCCAGATCCCCTCAGATTCAAGTTAACTCTCAGTCCCCCAGCATCCCAGGATGCTTTACACCACCCTTGCAAAGCCCTCCACCTCACAGGGTGAGCAAGCTAACCGTGGCCCAAGCTGTCTGCTCCAGCCAAGCAGGGAGGTATTCTCTAGCACACACCCTCCACCGACCACCCTGCAGCTTCTGGCCTGAGCCACTGCAGGCATGAGTCTGCACTAGACTAACCCGCAAAGATTGAATCAATTCAGCCTCAGGCTTTTTGACTGTCTATACTTACCCAGGGGGAAGAAAGAATGGGAAACATGAAGTTACTTTTTTCTTCTTCTTTTACATAATCTGAAAAGGTCCTCACACATGCTTAACAACATGGAGTTATAAACGGTTAAACATTTTGGCCAGATGTTCTGCTAATATAAATCAGTGTCACTGCAAGCATTTCAGTGGAACTATGCCAACTGACACCAATGGTGGATCCATACTTTATTTTCTAAGTGAGATAAGATATGGATTATTTTGTCCTATTGGTTTTACTACTTTCCTCCCCATGTGTAGGCATCTTGATATCTTATAAGCATGTGGTTACAATATTGTGTTACTTGCTCTTGAGAAGCATGGTAATCATAATAACAAAATCAACTGCAATTATCTCTGTGGCAGGTAAGTAGATGTGTACACACACACACATGCACACACACATACACACACACACACCACGGCTCTGTGTAGTCAACCTAGATTTATGCAATTGCCTTTGGGCAAAATTATATCTTAGCAGTTTTGGGTGGTGGTCAAGATAATGTGCCTTAACAGACAGACAGATCCTACACTTCGTTATACAGAAATTTACTCTGGATTCACATGAGTGTAAGGGAGAGCAGAATCTGATCCAAGCTAAGTATTTTTTAAAGAAAGAATAAAAAACCTGAGGTTAGCGAATTATTAGTGTGTTGAATTCACTTGTCTTAGTCATAAAACCCAAGGTTTGAAGAACTTCCAAGTACTTCCTGACTTTCAGACTCAACAAAACAGAATAACTTAATAGTTCCCAAATTCTGCAGGTGAAGTCCAACCCCCACTGAGGTCAAATGTAGAAGTTGTCACTGATTTCAATGGCTCTATGATTTCAACATCAGTTAATAAAGAAAGGAAGATTCTCTGGAACAAACTGTTGTCCCAAGAGACCTTGGAAAATTTGTGTAATTTTGTTCAGAAAGCCCCCGTGCATGAGTCACATTTGAAATACAGAAATCCTTGAATTCTATATCTGAGAACTAGAGGACACTTCTCTCCAACAAGTTAGAAATATCCCCATGCTTTTCAGCCAAAAGAACCCAGTGTTATTTACCATTTTGCACTTTGCCAACATATTTATGTAGGTTCTTTCATTTTCCATTATCATCTACATGGATAATTCTAATTCACTCAGATCAGGCATCTGAGTTAACAATAATGCCATCTCTCTGCCTACCAAGGAATTATATGCACTGATGAATTTTCAGCATGTGTGGTTTGCCTATTTTTATGTGGGTGAACTTTTCATTAAAATAGGCTTCAGCACCCAAAGAAAATCAAGAATATTCACAGCCTTAATGGAAAAAGTCATGAAAACTTTGTTCATACAATATTTTCATTAGTAACTGGCAGAACATTTTTATCAAATGTACTACCACCATCAGAAAAACCTGCTGAAAAATGTTTCTCCATCCCTAATTGCTCAGTGTCTAAATTTAAGAGAGTGATGGGAGAGTGTTAGCTGGGATTCCCTAACTATAGAAGCTGCTTTTCCCCTAGTGTGAAACAGTCTGCTGACCTTCCAGACATGCTGAAAGGCATGTCTGTTTACTCAGGCTGTAGGAAAGGGAGGAGCCTGAAGGGACTGAAGTTTATGTGCAGAATTCTGAGTTGAGTTTTGTTGGGTGGGACTAGTTTCAGCTATTTTTCTGTATCCCCCTTTGTAAGCTCTTTTGTGGCATGGAGCATTTTTTTATTCTGTATTTCTATAGTGCCTAGAACAATGGGGTCTTAGTCCATGACTGGGACTCCTAGATGCTAACAAAATAAAAATAAGATTAAATTAAAAACAATATGAACAGTATTTAAAGTTCTACCTATGTGCCTTGTGGTGCTGTATAATTGATACAATGGTAGTAATCCAGATGCTTTCCTCTATGGATAAATATTTCTGTTTCTAGGGGCATTAAAATAATAAGAGTAAAATTTAAAAATAAAACACACTCCCCCTGCCTTATTTGGCTCTCTCATTCCAATTTCTAGTCCATGTTATTTTAGACATCAAGTCATTTGGGGCAGGGACCTGGCTTAGTCTATGTTTTTAAAACACCTAATACTATTTAGGGTCCACTGAGGGCAAAAATAATTAACCCAACATTATAACCACATTCCAAACTTCCTGAGACTATTGAAGTTGCCAAGAGCAGAAAGTGCTGCACAGCACTGGGGCACAGGAACCCAGTTCATGCCTGGTATAAGTGGATCCTGTTCTTCATCTGATGATCTAGCACAGTGGTGTTCAACCTTTTGGTTCTGCAAGCCAGCTGGGTTGGAGCTGCCCTGCACACCAGGATCGGGCCCCGCACAGCCCCCATGCACACTGGGATCAGGTTCTGGCGTCCTGTGCCAACCTCGTGTGCCAGGATCAGGCCCTGCACTGCCCTATCTGGAAGCAGGATCATGACCAACGGGACTCTCCACCACGGGCTAGCTGACACAGCCCCAGGGGGTGGGGACGGATCTGGCAGCAGACTGGAGCTGAAGCACCCCTGCTATTGCAAGAAAAGTCCTATTTCCTGATAACGGTCCATTCTACAATCCCTCCCTGTGGCTGCGCAGCCAGATGAAGCTAGTCACTGAAGTTTAATTTGTGAAAAAGTCACTGCTCCCCCCGCCACCCCCACTACCACTTCACTTTGTCAAATGAATGACTCCTTCCCCTGGCCGCGACCCGGGCTATCCCACAAGCGGACGGCCCCTCTACACGCCCCGACACATCCCGCCCACCTCAGGCACTGCTGCGCGCGGGACAGGATTAGATGCGCGCTTGAAGTTGAAGGCGAACACAGCGAAGGCTTCGGGACACCTCCCCTCGGCTGCACAGCTCAGCACGGCTCCCAGGAGTGAGGGGCACTTCGGCCGCACCTCGCTCTCGGCCTGCCGGGGCGGCGACCCCCGTCCCCCTGCGGGGACCTTCAGCGGTCTCAGAGCCTCCCGCCCACCTTGTCACAGCCCGGCTCCGTCCTGCCTCACTCGCAGGACGCGCCGCGGGCCCCGAACCCCCCCGCGCCGCCCACTGTGTCGTCACAGCCCGGGGGCTCGGGCCGCGCAGGTGGGCGGCGGGAGGCGGCC